AGAGCCTAGAGTCTTTGGTGGGTGCAGGTCAAAATGGATGCCACGACAAGGTGTTGACGTGATAGGCTGTTTCACTAACCCCAATACTTCAAACTCCTAAATAGAGACTAGATTCAGGGAAGCCTAGAGAAATATCTTGATTCATGGTTGAATGAAGTTGGCCCCGACCTGGCTGGGGCCTCCGTGGAGACTAGAGAGTTTGCCTTTTCTTAGAAAGCAGGCTGGGCTAGGTGAGGGTGGGTGGCGGCCTGGAGAAGCTTTTGGTCAGATTGAATGTTGATGAAATTAATAGATGGACTTCTATCAATTGACCACCGCTTCACTTTTTAGCTTTTATTTAATCCTCGTATAGTGAATATGGTCTATTGCTCAGACGACAAAAGCTACCTCCAAATCCCATATTCGATCCTTAGATCCTAAAGGACAGTAGGGCTAACTGTTCATTGTATGTGCAATTGGGTTTTGTGATACCAATAGCTAGCAGCTAATCATCTAATCTATGGAATCTTATCAAGACAAGAGAAATATTCAGTAGTAACCCTTGTCCTAGTTTACTGTTAGTATGATAGCTAGTACTGTTTTATCTTTGATAACTTAGTTGAAAATCTTACTAACTGAATTTTATACATCAGTAGATTCCATGCAGCAGATTCATCAGACGGGGAAATTAAAAAACAGTTCAAGTTTAATATCGCTGACCATCAACAACATGGATCATTATTTTTCAAAGAACATGTTTGAATTTTTCTTTTTTATCAGATTGAATTCCTTGGGTACACAAAGATAAACCTTCACCACATGAATTTCAAACTCAACATATCAATCAATGAAGGTATCATTAATTAGATTTTTTATGTGCCAAATAATCCATGCCCATTTATTAATTATATAATAGTAGATTTGGGGAGGAATTCTAGTGAGATTGATATAGAAGCCCAAGTCTATGACTTGGGTTTCGAGTCTGATAAACATCCTTTTGGAAAGCCACTGAAGACCCACATACCAAGATAGAAAGGAATACGTGAAGCAGTTGAGTCAACATAAAATAAAATAGGATAAATTGCTGAAACCCCCGTTAGAATTTATTAATGGCAATTACCTCCCATGGATTTTCGACATCACATCTCCGCTCCCGTAAGGCCCCACAGCACATCCCCACCATCTATTGGGAATATCTCCCGATGATGATTGGTACTATCATCGGGACACTGAGGGGATGTGCTGTGGGGCGAAGATGTAAAGTCTGAATTTTCAGACATTGGTGCAAGTAGACCCCCCTTTGTTAGAATCTTCTAAAAAGAGGCATTAAAACATTCATACAATTGCGTTAACCAAAATGTTTATTTTCAAGTTTTCTCTACATAACAATCATTACCCCAAACCCTTTCCATCTCTTTTCTGAAATTGATTTGTTTTCCAAATTTGTTTTTCATATCATTTGCTTAAAGGTAAAGCTACAACTTTAAATTCTCTTTTTCTTTTGATTTTCATAAAACTTATATTATTTTTTTCTATAAAAACTAGCCTCAATAATAACTGCATTGATATTTTAAACATTTTCATGCATTTTTTAGAGGATTCTAACAAAAGGAATTTAATTGCAACTGTGTCATAAATTTTAAGGGAAATGACTGCAATTAGCAAACTTTAGAAGAAGTTTTAGCAATGGTCCAAAATTTCAAGGGAGTTCTCACCAATTTACCCTATAAAATAAAAGCACTAGTGTTTGGGGCCCCCTATAGTAGAAAAGGTTTCCAAAACTAAAGCTAATGCCATACCAAAAATAAATAAAGAATATGTTTTGTGTTTATGAAGCCTCCGTTTATAATGCAGTACATGGTTCACCATATAGATCTCATTGAATAACTGATATTTTTCATTCACAATATTGATGGGAAAGTCTCAGTACATATCACTTTACAAAGGCCTCTGGAGTAAACTGAATATAGCACTGGAGACATGTAAGCAGACGATAGTATTGAATTAAAATTTCTTAATGAAATTGTTAATTTGGTAAGATATCGAGAAGTGTTTCTTGTATCATAATGAAAAGCTACTATGGATAATGTTGTTGTTGCTACTGGGACCGGTGTCTTATTTAATCAATGCATGTAGATGTAGAAATGAGCATGTGATGTGAGGTAGGTTGACCCATTAATTTTAAAAGCTGTAATGTGGGCAAGGTGCAAAGGATGCAATTTTTTCTTGCAACAAACAAAGAGCAGAAGAGTTGAAATCATGGTTTTTAGAACTGATTCGAAGACCGAACCGGTCAGAGTCTAGTTACCGGGTCAAACGGTTCAACCATTTGAACTGAATGTTCAGCCTATTCTGACAAAAAATTAAAAAAATTTTAAAAAATAAAAAATGGTCAAAACCATTCGAATGATTAACTGCCCGGTTCAGTGGTTTGCCGATCAAAATCAACGATTTTAAGAAAAAATCTGATTTTTGGAAAAAACAGACCTGACCGGTTCCCGGTTTTTCTGATCCGACCGCCCAGTCCGATCCGGTTTTGAAAACTATGATTGAAATCATTTACAGTTGTATTCGTAATACTGAGGGAAATTCGATATACATACACCATGACCCAGTATCCTCAGGTTCCTATAGAGGATTAGGAGTTGGAAAGAGAATTAAAAGAGAAAAATGTTTAAATCCCTAACTGTAGGATCGCTTAACAATGCATCCAGAATTTGGGTGATACAGAAATATGTTTTATTGTAATATTCTTTCTTTTTTTTGTCGATGAAAAGGTTACTTTCTTAAGATACTGTTCTAACTTGTACATCTACAGCGACTTGCAGTCGACATCACCTGACATCTCAGAAGCCTTTCACTAACAGCAGGTCCCTGTCCCACTAGTGTGTGCATAAACAGTCAATCAGCTGTTCCTACAAAAGCATTTGGTCCAAATTTCAGCAGAGCTTCAGTGTGTTTTATTTGCTACAAGCTACAAGTGGTATTTCTCTCGAGTTGTCAATGGACCGGACAGTTGAACCAGCTGTGAACTGGAGAATCGGTGAGCCAATAAATCCAGTAATTGGATAGTGGAACTGTGGAACAATCAAATTGTCGCTTAAACCAGTAAATTTTGACCAAGTGAGCTTTCGGGTTTTACATCCAGTCTAAATCTAACAACACTAGTTTCTGGCTTTATGCATCACGTATCTAATAAAGATTTTGATGGTTGCCCCATTTACAACAATAGCACAAGGCTTTTCACAGTCCCCCAACAAACCCTATAATAGCTGTGGAATCGCATGATATCTTTCTAGTGGAATCTCAGAAAGGAGCAACATAACACTGGTTCAGAAGCAGAATCCTGATCTCTCAAGTCACTGTAAATCATGTATACCCGTAGTTCATGTCATAGATTAATAGAAGTCATTACAGCAAAAAGAGATAAACAAGAAAAAAAAAACAACTTAATTGCTTTGGAGAGTCATTGCTTTGCACTGGTTAGGTACTGACCTTGACCTATCTTACACTTTGTTAAGTCAAAATTACACACAGATACACACGTATGCAGAGTTTGATTTCTTCATGTCACGGTATATCATGCATATCCATATGGTCAATGTTGTAGACTAACGAAGCCAATGCAACAAAAAGAAATAAACAAGAAAAACAAACCAACCTAATTGCTAGACTAACCATGCGTGTGTAATGTGTTTATGATTCTAACTTTAACAAAAATTTAAGATAGTTAATTAGGGGTGACAACGAGTCGAGCTTTTCACAAGCTTCTCGAACTTAATTCAGTGGCTCGATTATTAAACGAGCCAAGCTCGAACCTATTAGAGCTCGGCTCATGATGCTTGCAAGCCGGCTCGAATATATATATAAAATAAAATTATAAAAAATAATATATATAATAAAAATATTATAATTATTAATTATTATTAATTTTATTTTTTTTAATTTAAAATAAAAAATTATATATAATTTTTATTGTTATAAAATATTTTTTTTCAAAATCGAGTTCGAACCGAGCCGAGCCAAGCTCAAGTTTTTTTTTTTTTTTATAGAACCAAAAGGAACTATACAAGACATGGTAGCACGTCCCCAAACATCAGCAACACAGAGAAAAAAGAGGGGAAGGAAAAGAAGCTAAACTAAAATTAACGAACTCTGTTGAAACAAATAGAGATTCGTGTGCCAGTCAATCAGTCGCCTGGTTTGCCTTCGGATAAATATGCCTATACACCAGACCTCTTCAAAACTCGTCATTTAGCTTGATGCAGTTCTTGTTGATGTGTCTTATCTTCTAAAGAGCTAGGATCTTCTACTTGAGACACAAAAAGTGCCCCTTAAAGAAATAAAACAAAAATCCCATAAGAGGAGCAAAATAACAAAAGATATAAGAAAAAAAAATCCCTTGTATGTTTCTAGCAAAATGCGTGCACAAGGAGTGAATTAGTTTAATGTTGGCTACCGAAAGTAAGGCTCAAAATATCATTACGTATCGGCCCATATTGGCCAATACATTACATACCATGGCCTTCCCAATACACCCCTACAGGGGGCGTTTTGGGTCAGAGCATGATTCAGAGGGTAGCCGGTCTTAAACCGACCCCTCTGAACCAAATTCGAAATAAAAAAAAACACCGATACAGGCCTGTATCGATATTGAACCTTGACCGAAAGGGTGGCCAACGAGAAAGTCACAAGGTCGGCAAGAAGGATGAGTGCAATTTATCCTATTTTGCACATGAAAAAGGCTCGTGCCACCATCTAATAAGTTTTTCTTCGTTTCTTTTTTTTCCTTTTCTTGATTTTTCGGTAGTGCTCTAATAGATTAAAGACTAGTCATCCATAGTGAGCCATTTCGTCCACAGATTTTAGCTTTTCGATGATCATGCCAACTAACAATTTCCATTCAAACGAGATCAAATTCTTGGTTGACATATCAACATCGTTTGACAATAATTTAGGATTTGATATTCAGAGAAGAGTGCTTGTGCACATGAAACGTTTAGACCCGGGTTTCTTAGACATAGTAAGGGAAATTCAGCTTCAACCAAAGGATTTATAAATGTTGACAAAATCAAGGTAGAAATGCAATGGCTAACCCTCCTTGGGCCTTTGGAAGAACTGAAAGGTGTGTCATCCTTACAATCACCCAATTTCAACAGTTTGCTTTTCTACAGAGGGAACAAAACATGATCAAATTGCAAATTCTGGGCCATCTAATAGATAGGACAACATGCCATTCACTTGACAAATTCGAATCTACGGTCATCTCCAACCTAGATGAAGCACTGAAGGAAAAGAAAACAAACAAATCTCCCCCATGCATTACCAACAAGAGTGCTCTGGTTTCTTCATCTGGGATGAGACCTCTGTATTTTACAATCGCCCAGCATATATTACAAAAGCTATAGCTTAGATCATTGATTCTCCTTCTCTCCTAAAAAGTTCCTGCACAAAAACCAATGCATAAATATTTCAACCTTAACAACAATATTTGGTGACTTTCATCAAGATATATAGAATGTTCTTTACCAGCTTGCTAGCAGCAACTGACTGACGCTGCCTTTCCTTCTTCTCACGTTGGCACTCTCCACACCAGCTAGAGAAATCCTTCTGATACTTCTTCAGCTCTCGGAAAACTGAACTGCAAAAAGATGTGAATGCAATTTAAGTTTACTAACAAACTGAATGGTGAAATTCTTAGGAACAGCTTAAAGATGTAAGGACCCTTGGACAACATGAAAATAAATAAAACCTAAGAAATAAATATAACATTAAGGCTGCATTTGGCATTCCTTATTTTAAGGACTCGTCAAAATTTAAACAGGATATGTTGGATCTTTGTTTTTAGTAATAGTCATGCAATGATTGACAATTGACAGAAGTATCATACCATCTTCCTGGTCAGTAAATTTTGATATCTCATATCACCTTTTTCAAAAAAGAAAGAAGAAACTACCTGTCTAAATATGGAATAGGACATTGTGATGTCTGTTTATGCTGCATTTGGCATTCCTTATTTTAAGGACTCATCTCCCTTCTAAATAAGGAATGCCAAATGCAGCATAAACAGACATCACAATGTCCTATTCCATATTTAGACAGGTAGTTTCTTCTTTCTTTTTTGAAAAAGGTGATATGAGATATCAAAATTTACTGACCAGGAAGATGGTATGATACTTCTGTCAAGTGTCAATCATTGCATGACTATTACTAAAAACAAAGATCCAACATATCCTGTTTAACAGTACTTTTATACCTCAGTTAACAATATAAAACACCAAAGCAGCACAAGTTGCTCTGGTTGTCAGTGTCAACTAAATATTGACATATGACTTTTGGACTACTCTCAACTCCAAGGTATCCTTCCAAATCTGTACAGGAATCCAGAATACTTGTTTCTCAGCTCTCCATTGAACAATCTAGCAGGTGATTTGTGCTTTAGGCTCAGTTTGTTTGCAGTGCGAATTTCATTTGCACTAATGTAAATGCATGGGACTGCAAATAGGGTGAGTGTAAATTCTGGTCTACTTTTGCTTCAGATTTGACTGTCTTATTTGTTTGTTGAGAAGTAAATGATGTGATCCCCACCTTATATGGAGAATGGAAATGGGAGGATTATTTGTTTTAGTGGGGTGAGAAGCAAGATGATCTGATCCCAACTTTATACGAGAGAGTATTGGTGTAAGGTAGTGCAAATTTGCATCAGCTTTAGGATGCAAAGTTTGTACTGCCAGTGAGCACAAGTGAGACCAAAAGTATAAATTTGTATCAGGTTGGAAACTGAACCAGGTGCGCAATTTGTATCCAGTTCAGATTTGCACTGCAAACAAACAGAGCCTTAAGCAGTGTTTAGCACAAGGCACAAAAAAGGTGCAAAAACCATTTTGCACTCAAGGCACAAAATTAAAAAAATATATAAAAAATAAATTACAAAAAAGTAAAAATTTCAAAAAAAAATTAAGAAAATATTAAAAATAGTATTAATTAAAAAAAGCCTATTAAGTATTAACTCAAATTTAAATACATAAACATAACATATAAAACATATTCAAAGTGAAAATGCAAAAACAAAATAAATAAATAGCATACAAAACATATTCAAGCATGTCAAACTTTTAATTTCTTTATTTGTTTGTCAATCGCATTATTTCAAATAGTTAATGAGATGTTACATCTTTCATTCTTAATTCTACAAGTTGTCTATGGACCAAGCTCTTAAAATTCTTAATCCCTAAAAAATAATTTTATAATTTTGAATTTTTGATTATCTTTTATTAGGATGAATGATTGAGTAACATTGGCAAATCAAATAGGGGGCGAGTTACACATCAGGTTGCGAATGGAAGAAGGAAGAACTTCATTTCTTTGCTCTGAGAATGGCACAATTACACGTTAGGAGGAAATTGCAAAGGAATTTGCGGACCATTTTAAATCTATCTATAGAAAATCAGCACAAGGAAGATGGAAATTAGAAGGCTTGGAGTGGCCAACTGTGGAATTTTCACTGAGGGAACTGGAGAGAAGATTTGATAGGGAAGAGGTGAAGGAAGCTATTTTTTCTATGAATAGGATTAAGGCTCTTGAGTTTGATGGATTCTATATGGCTTTCTATCAGACTGTTGGGAGTGGTTAAGCGGGGATTTGATGAAAGTCTTTGAGGAATTTTATCAGAGGGATTATCAGTAGAGGTGTTAATGCTACATTCATTGCCTTAATCCCTAAGAAATCAGGAGCCTGTCATCCCAAGGTCTTTAGACCAATCAGTTTGGTAACCAGCCTATATAAGATCTTAGCCAAAGTCCTATTTTTGCGGTTAAAAAAGGTTCTCCCTTCAATTAACTCTCAGTTCCAAGGGGCTTTCATTCAGGATAGGCATATCTCATACCAAATACTCATTGCCAATGAATGTGTGCAAATTGGATTTGGATAAAGCTTAAGATTTTGTAGATTGGGAGTTCCTACTTGAAGCTTTGGTGAATTGTGGTTTTGGTGCTAAATGGTGCAAATGGATAAAATGATGTTTGCAATCTTGCCACTTCTCAATATTGGTGAATGGGGTGGTGAAAGATTTTTTTTGGTGCCATTAGGGGTTTGAGGCAAGGGGATCCTCTTTCCCCCTTCTTATTCACTCTCATAGCAGAAGTGTTCAGCAGGTCAATTTCAAAAGCCGATGAAGTGGAACTATTAAAGGGGTGGAAGATAGGAAGGGATAGGGTAGTGATAACTCACCTACAGTTTGTAGACAACATTATCATCTTTTGTGAATATGAAGATGGGTTAGGAGCCAGGAATGTTAGGATGTTGGTGAGTCTTTTTGAGAAAGCAACGAATTTAAAGGTCAATTTAAATAAGAGTTGTGGTGGTTGGGGTCAATTTGGAGTAGGAGGATTTAGATCTATGGGCGGGGGAATTAGGGTTTCTGTCTAATGAGTGGCCACTGAAGTATTTGGGTCTTCCTCTTGGAGAAAACCCGAGATCTTTAAGTTTTTGGAACCCAGTGGTGAAGTTTGAAAAGAAGTTGGTTGTGTTATTCTCTGGGGGGTAGAATAATAACACTCATTAAGTCCACCTTAACAAATCTCCCTATGTACTACTTATCTGTGTTTCGCATGCCCCAAACCATTATTAAAAGGTTAGAAAAACTAATGAGGGATTTTTTGTGAGAACCAGGGGAGGCAAAGAAAGATCATTTAATTAGATGGGAGGTAGTGTGCAAAAGGAAAGAGTCGGGAGGTTTAGGTTTAAGGAGATCGAAAGAGAAAAACTCGGCACTCCTAGGAAAATGGATTTGGAGATTTACACGGGAACATAAAAACTATGGCATAAGGTGGTGGCTAGCATTCATGGGCTCTCAGAGAATGGCTGGGATGTTGGAGTTTCTAGTAGGGCGTCCAGTGCCTCTCCATGGAAAGCCATTCACAAAGTTCTTCCCCTCTTCCTAGCTCAAATCAGGTTTGATCTCAACTCAAGCAATAAAATTAAATTTTGGGAAGACCTATGGGTGGGTGAAGCTCCCCTAAAGGAATCTTTTTCTTCTATTTATGCACCATCTTCATTCAAAGGCAAACTAGTTTCAGATTTTTTTATTCTCTCACCCTCTCCCTCCGGTTTTGGTTGGAATTTGAGTCTGCAGAGATATGTGAGAGATTCAGAGTTGGACCTTGTATCAAATCTTTCGCAAATTCTTGATGGGGTTTTCTTTGACACTAGAAAAGGAGATGATCATTTCTGGACTTTGAGTTTTTTACTTCCGGTTCTAGACTTTGAGTTTTTGACTTCCTCCACTCCACCTCCTTTATCTTTCCCATGTAAAGAAATTTGGTGTCGACATATTCCCCCCAAGATAGGTGCTTTTTGTTGGGAGGTCTTCCATGGGGCAATCAATACTTGTGACATTACAGAGAAAGAGACCAAGATGGTGCCTCTCCCCAAACTGGTGCTACCTATGCGAATGTCATGGTGAAACTGCTTATCATGTTCTTATCTCTTGCCCTTTCAGTGCAGGTGGAACACTCCAGGTAGTCTGGAGAGGTTTTTGACCCTTCTACTATCAGGTGGCCAAAAAGAGAGAGGGGGGGTAATGTGGAGATGTACGAGGGAAGCAATCATATGGACCATTTGGGAGGAAAGAAACCTGAGAATCATTGAGGAAAAGAAAAGAAGCAAGGAAGTTGTGATAGAAGGGGTTATGGCCTATGGTAAGGGTGGTACATGGGGTTAAGACAGACTTTAGTCATGATGATTTAACCAAGAACTGGAAGATAATAGCAACTTCTTCTCGTTCAAAGAGGAAATTGGGATCCACTGGTGAATGGCTTCCTTAAACTAAATTTTGAGGGAAGCAGTTTGGGTTTGGGCAATCCAGGGCCCTCTGGAATAGGAGGGGTGATGAGAGATGACAGTGGAGCAATTTTGGGACTATATTCCTGCCCTCTTAGCCCAGGAGACTCCATAACAGCAGAATGGAATACTATGGCATTTAGGATACAAAAAGCTGTTGAAATAGGAGTCAATAAATTGATAATAAAAGGAGATTCAAAGGTACTTTCAGAATGAGATAAAAAAGATCAGAACTCAAAAGATTGATAAGTAATAGGCAGGTGGAATTTCAGTGGGTCCCAAGGTCAGCTAATAATATTGCAGATCAACTAGCAAAACAAGGGGTTACAGGATGCAGTGCTTTTGGGCTCATTTGTAATGATTTAGTCATTCTTATTGTTGTGTTTTCTTGTTGCTTATCTGTGTAATGGGGTATCCAAGGCTGCCCAATCTTTTCCCTTCTAATTAATAAATTTTTCTTGGTATTTATCAAAAAAATTGAATAGAGGGTCATCGGAGCTTCGGTGAGCAAGCAAACCAAAGAGGAGTAGATTCCCCTATTTGCTAATGTCTTTTTTTTGGAAAAAGGTAACGTAATATTTATTGAATCAAAAGCTACACAAACAAGCTGAGATCAGTCCCAGAAAGGCCGACTGAACAATTCAGCAATTGCATATTCCACCAAGAACTGGAATGAAAAACAACAGACAAATTACAATTTCTGAACTCCTAAGAGACTGACACCCAAGAGATTAATTTGCCCACAGCTTTCTGGATAACCTCTTCAAGACTTAAAGCCTTATTACAGAAGCCTACTATTCC